CCGGACGCCCCTGCTTAGGCTAACAGCCAGGAAGCCCACCAGAAACATAGATGTGCACACCCACCCCCATTTTGCACCCTCACATCCATTTATTCATTTAAGTAGTCAGGACAGGCGGGAAGTGTGATTTATTATCTTGAGCTTGAGCTCAAGGACTGTCAATTCACTTGTACCAGCAACTCCCCAAGCCCACTTCCTTAAAATGGGAGAAAAACAATGGCATCTGTGCGACCATGTTAAGACTCATGATGGATAAGCAACCATTCATTGAATTTGTTCACTCTCCTTCGAAGAACCCGACTATTTCTCTGACTTCAAGAGGAGTTGAATAAAACAAAACAGAGCAGTCCGACAAAGACGGAAAACTTCCACACCCTCTGTTCTTTTTTTATTTTATTTTGTATTTGAAGGAGAGTCGCTCCACACTACAGGAATACTTTGTTTATCACTGCATTGTCTAAATGTGGAGGAAACTGCTCAACGCAGCTCCCACAGAACGAGATTCGACGGGAATAGGCCCGTCATTCATATAACCGAGTGAAGGAACATCCATAGACGTCCGTGTCCCCATTAACACCAGGATTAGAGCTTGACTTCATGTAATGCAAAGCTTTGCATTTGAGGATTACCTGTGTGCTCTTTGGAAAATGAGACCAGCCATGTTACATTATGGACCATTGTTTATTTTTGCTTCTTTTTTTATTAATAATTCATGTCGCGTGTGGAATTTACGGACCAGTGGGTTTACGATTGCTCTAGATACCTTGTTTTAAGTTCTCTTCTGGTTTTGTATTCCCTTAGTACTGACATAGCTTATTTTAAACTGCCAATAATTTATATGCAAGGTATGCTACAACTTGTAGGTGTAACGTTGCAAACGGATGAGCCAAAATGACTTCTGTTCGTTATAATAATACGTGTGCGACCACAGCTAATTGCCATAATATGAACTAAACAGAGTTAGAGGATGAGTTCACAAAGCCGGCTTTCTGTCATAGCGGAGCCTTATTCATGCACACACACACACACACACACACGATATAAGCTGAAGCGGTGATAGTTACAGGACCAAGTTTCCCAGATCGTTGTTGTTTTCCTTTCAGAGCTCGACCCCGGGTGGTGTAGATTAACACCCCTGGCCCACTGCCAGCTGACTGGACACACAGAAAAAAGGGCTGCGCGCAGCACCTGTCTTTGTGAAGAGGCTTCCCTGCTGGGGAACCTGCGGTATAGTGCACAGGGGTGTGAATCCACACACGATTGTGTAGTAGCAGTGCAATATTTGCTGAGCGCACCTGTACCACTCCAAAACCAATCAGTCTGACTCATTTCACTGCCGCTCCTCTCTCGAATATATCCAAAAGCCACACAGAATCGCAACCAGGTTGACAACATTTCCAGAACATTTCACAAGTTGAATGAGGACCGTTCAGATTAAATTGGCATCCTTTTGTCACACCTTCATAAAGAACTCATTGTTTTTTGCTGAAACAAAGCCTTGCTGCAGGCTAGTCATGTAGAATGTGCTTTTAGTGTCTCGCCACATTTGAGCCCCCAGCAGGCAGCACCGGGACCCCAGATCGAGCTGAAGTCCCAGCCTTAGTCTTAAAGGACTCTCAGCTGGCGGGGATCTGCTTTGTCAGCTTTTTTTTGAGTAGCTCGTAGAACGAAGCCTCCACTTGCAGTTTTTCAAACACCTTTAATCCCGTAAACCAAGCAAGAGATCATCTAGGGCAGGGGTGTCCAAACTCGGTCCTGGAGGGCCTGTGTCCTGAAGAGTTTAGCTCCAACCCCAATTAAACACACCTGAACCAGCTAATCAAGCTCTTACTAGGCATACTAGAAACCTAAAAGGCAGGTGTGTTGAGGCAAGTTGGAGCTAAACTCTGCAGGACACCGGCCCTCCAGGACCGAGTTTGGGCACCCCTGATCTAGGGCATGTGAGGGACTTTATTTAGCCCATTTTCACTCCTTAAAAATCCCTTTATTGTTACATTTGAAGTCTGATTGTGAAGAACCAGGTGGTCTTAAAAGGATAGTCCACCCCAAAATGAAAATTCTGTTGTAATTTTCTCACCCTCATGTCATTCCAATTCTGTATGCATTTCTTTCTTCTGTGGGACATAAAGAAGATATTTTGAAGAATGTTGGTAACCAAACGGTTTCAATTTCCATTGACATCCATTGTATGGACAAAAAATACAATGGAAGTCAATGGGAACTGAAAATATCTTCTTCAAAGTATTTTCTTTTCAAGTTTTGGAAAAACGTGAGTGTGAGTAAATTATGATAGAATATTAATTTTCGAGTGGACTGTTCCTTTAATACTGTATTTGAGGCAGCAAGTGAAGGACAGGAATTTGTCTTGGTTAGAGAGAAGGAATATTGTAACAAATAAACTGTGATCTTGCACGCTTTGTAAGTGCATTTCCATTGACTATGTGCTGTAATGGACTGAATTAGTGGAGTTCTTGTATCAGATGATGAGTTTAGGAATATGAACATCAAATGTAAAAAAATAATGCACATGGGAAACAAGCTTGGTGGATGCTGAATGAATTTATAACGTAGCTCTGATTGCTTGCTTCTGAATGTCAATTCAAGGGCTTATTTGTCAACCTCAAGTGGTATTTCCTGATTAGAAAAATGGTTGATCACTGTTGATCAAATCCAAACTGCTTCTCGATCTGAATTGGCCACAGTTCCCCAAAAATCAAAGGTGCTTCTGGATCAAACGTTCTCTTTGTTTGCATGTTTAAGTAGCTGTATATAGATGTAGATGCATTGCTACAAGTGGTTATTGTCCCAGTGAGCTCCATAGTGACAGAAAAAAACAGTCTTATACTGAGCAGTTAATAAATATCCCATGAAATAAAGAGAAAAAATAATTAACTTTGTGACTTTGAAGTGTTAAACTGATCACAGAAATTAATAAACTGCATCCTCTGACAATAAAAGCAATCCTGTCACTACAACTTTTCTTGAAAATCTGCCCTCAGAGAGTTTGAGAATGTAATGAAGGGTTGATAACTGATACAGTGGGGCCTTTTAGATGCTAATTATCTTTATGAAGTCCTCAGACATGCTGCCACGTGTAGATTGTGATTTAGCCAAAGTGCTGTTTCAGATGGGTGATGGCGATCCTTGAAGTAACAACCTATAAGTGGACGTGATCTCTTATGATTTTCTTTTCTTGTCTATATTGATTGGAGACACTTTAGAAGAGTTTTTGATCAAATCCAATGACAAAGAAGAGGACAATTGTGTTATTTAACATTGATACTGACTGTTACCCTGGAAATGTCAGTAACCTGTGCCACAGTGAGCCTTTGCTTGGATACTCTTCAGTCACTGGCTTTATGTAACTCACTCTCAGTAAAGTCTGCTGTACATTGTACATCTGTAACCACCAAAACATTATTAAACTTGTTTGTATCCAGCATTGTGAAAATCTGTAACTACTTCTAACACACAAAAAACAATATAGAGCTGTCTAATAGACTGCAATGAGCAATATTGCTTCTGAAGTATTAAAGTTGCTTTATTTTTTGCCTTTACATGATTATTCTCCACCTGTTCCTGAAGTCGTTGTGATATGTTTAGAGTCCATGACTTGAATGAATGCGACGGGATCCTGCAAAAAACACTCTTTTGGGTGGATTGGTGGCTGAACAAACAATTGAGAATAAAAGACTGTATTCGGCACGTGTACGTCTGGAAGAGATTTACTGTATCTGTACTTGAACATGGCTACTTTAAAGTTTTTGAGAACTATTATTAATCTAATCAATTATACACTACTGTTGGATTTTTTTTTTTTGGTAATACTTTTATTCAGCAAGGATGCATTAAAGGGGTCATATGGTGCGATTTCAAGTTTTCCTTTCTCTTTGAAGTGTTACAAGCTCTTGGTGCATAAAGAAGATCTGTAAAGTTGCTAAAGACTAAAGTCTCAAATCCAAAGAGATATTCTTTATAAAAGTTAAGAGTCAACCACACCTACCTAAAACAGCTCATTCTAACACGCCCCCACATGTCTACATCACTATGTGGAAATATTAGCATAATGCCACCCAAATGT